CAGAATGGACGCATGATTTCCACACCGATCCATTTCTTCTCAAAGATGGATGCGTAGGGTGACTGCCTCAAATCGCCCGTAACCATAAAAACCCAATAAGTCACGCGCACACATATGTACACACACAACAAAATAATATGCTTCGGTAATTTTGCGTGAGGATATCAGCGGGCTCGGAGCTATTAAGCTCAGATAGTGATAAAACACACGAGAAATTTAAACTTTCCTGAGGTAATGTACAACCTCAGCATCCATTCTGGGCTTGACAAATAACGCACGCTTGCTCCATCGATCTTCAATCTTCGTAAATACGTGTAGACATCGCGTAAACGACGAATCGAGTCGCTGGTCAACCTCGCCGACGGTCCACGTTCTTCGTCGCGAAGCGCGAGGAAATTGAAAGAAAGGAGAAAACGAGAAAAGGAGAGACAGAAGAAAAAACATTCGCGAGGAGAAAAGCGCTCACCTCGCTGCGAGCGAGAGAGAGAGAGAGAGAGAGAGAGAGAGAGGGGGAGAGAGAGAGAGAGCGCAAGGAAAAGAGAGAGCGGGAGAGAGAAGAGTCTACGTCGTTCATTGAAAGGATTAAAACCCGTGCGCGCCGGGAGCGCCGTTCGCTTATTTACCGGCGAGGGTGGAAGAGTCCTTATTCCCTTTTCTTTCTCCTCGCCGTTTCACGGCCGTCTTCGCCCCTGTCTGCCCTCTTCAGCCGCCACCCCGTCTCCCTCTCCTCCCACCGCCTCTCGACCCCTCTTCCGCCGTCCTCTTCGCCGTTCTGTGTTCTCCGGAGAGGCCGCGACCAGCAATCAGCGTAATGCACCCGCAGACACACCCCTGCCCACCCTCGCCGTCGCACACGCGCTCGCTCGCACACAGCCTCGGCTCTCCACCACGTTGATTCGTGCACATGGACGAATGTACACATGCATACACACACACACACACACACACACACACATAGCATACAGGCACGGGCCACGGCAAACGGCCAGGGTACATACCCCCTGGGCCAAAGGCCCCGATAACACGAGAGAGCCCCGGAGTAATGCGGACGCAATGGCAATCTCTTCGAGAGCAACGAAATAGATCGTAGGACGTAGACCGATGGTGCAAAACCATTGCGGCGGTAACCGGCAGCCGTTCCTGCCCTCCCCCCAATCCCTGTCCCTCTTCAGCGAGCTCCGGAAACTCTTCGCCGTCGGAAATCTCGCCGTGGCCTCGCCGTGGCCTCGCCGTGACCCTCGACGGTGAGTCGAGACGGTATCCCGACGACGCATCCACCGCTGAGCGCCGAAAAGTTGGCAGAAATTCGCGGCGCGAACTTGCCGTTTGGATTCTTCGTGCGTCCGATGGGGCCAAATTTGCGGGATCGTTCGGCAAACAGGGGTGTGCGGGGTAGAGAGTTGTCAGTCAGTCTGCTCGTTGCGCATTCGAAAAATGCCTCGCGCGGTTTGTTGTACGTGAGGAAGGCAGCGACAACGGTGCTTTCGCGTGTGTTCGAAAGGCCGTTGAGCTGATTTGCGACGGCTCGGTTGCTTTCTCAGAGTATCGGAAAAGTTAGTATGCGCGCGCCTCTTCATGGACATGGGCCGCGAAGCGTGTCGGAAGTTGCGGGGTATACGACGCACGGTCGGTCGGCTATAAATTCCGCGCGACTTTAGCCCTCCGGTATATTCGGCAAGGAACGACGCACACACGGCCACTTTTTTGCCAAGAAAAATAAAGTCAATCTCATCGGTTCCCTCTTTCTCTCGGTCTCTCTCGTTTTCTCGTTTCTCGCAATATTTTCGCATCAACGTATTATTACATTTATTTATTTTTATACCTACTTGAGTATATTTCTCTCTCTCTCTCTCTCTCTCTCTCTCTCTCTCTCTCTCTCTCTCTCTATTAAATTCCAATTAAAAACTTTAATCGACCCTGTTTTAATTGGAAACGAACAATTCATAACTATCTGCCTGTCCCGCGAGAGCCGCGTGGAAACGCATTCTCCCACGAAAATCATTCTCCCCGCGCTTTGTACGGAAAGGAGACCGCTCGTTCGGAGTCTTGAAAAGAGCCTTTTCCACCGCGATTATTAGCGTGACGATATAGCGTGGCAATATTACGATAATGTTATCGCAACGTAGCCATCAACGTTTCACACGTCTCGACAATACTTCATCAGCCGGCTGCCGCTTTCGCGGCTGAAGGGCGGCTGAATCGCGAACGTGTCCGTGGACATTTAGTAACACCGGAGAATGGAAAGGAGAACGATAATTCGAGGACGATACGACATGAGATATTAACCCGACAATGACCTAAGACGCTAATTCCTGCTGATAGTACACTAGACGTCGCGTTTCACCCCAACAGCCACGAGCTTCTGAATGCGCGCGCGCGCATGCCAGCAAACTCATTATTCTTCTTGTCCTGAGGGCGCGTATCCCGCGCTCTTCGTCTACGCGCGAATAATCTTCGCCTGGATTTCCCATTGTATTATTGTGTCTGCCACCGGGTGATAAACTGCGCATTCCGCAGGGAACACGGCTCCGCTCATTACTAATATAGTCGCACGTGCATGCGCGCGCGCGCGCGCGAGATGTCGTCCTATCGTAGCTAACGGAACTCTCATTGCATCCCCGGAGGAACCCGAAGTTAAGCACTTGTCCGTTTCAAAGCGGCCGTCTACCGCGCGAGAATTTCACCTTCGTAGCAAGGAGACGTGCGGAGATATTCTCGGATCGAGTAGATCACGAGCGAGGGAAAACGCTGCTCTTTTTTTATTTCGTTCCGCAAATTGCGGCACGTCCTTCAGACGGAGGCGGTGGATTGTGGGCTCATCTTGAAACATCGTACGGCCACATGAGCCCCTAACGAGCAATCTTTTATCTGTCGTTCTTTTGGGGAAAATAGACATGTAGAGGTGGAGTAACCTCCGCGCGCCGGAAGTTTTCGAGGAAATTAATTGCTCTCAGGTCGGGCGATTTATAGATCCGCCGAGCTCATTTCATTACGTATACGTATTACAATTACGTAACAACGTATATAACCGTTCCCGGCGAAACTTCGCCGGGGGGAACACCGCGGATGAAAGAGCGCTCTTTATAGCGCGTTTTTATAATGCCTCGCGGATCGGGATAATTTAATAAAAACGCCGAGGCAATTTGCGACGCGCGGACCTCGGTATCTTCATTAGCAATGCACGCAAGCGACGTCGCTAATTCAAGACAGTGGACCATCGGCGGATTACAGAAACTCGTTAACCGGCTAATACCTTTAAGCGACCGAGCTTTTTCGCCGGGCGATTCAACGGAGCCACCACAAACGCACGGATAGAAGAGTTTCCGATACACGCGGACTATTGTACTATTTTACGACGGATAATTGTACGACTGTAAACGTACGCGGTATATAATTGCCGTCTCGATAAAGAATCGCGCGAGATCGAGAGGAAGTAAAGAGAGCGGGAAAATCGAGAGAACCAGAGGAGTCGGGAGAGAGCGAGAAAGAGAAATTAAATTCACCATTGGGACAAGCTGAACAAGCTACGAACGCAAATAGCGCAAGGACTCGCTGCGAGGAATCTAATCGTAAATGTTTACAATTGACGGCCAAACAGAATCGATTAGAAACGACGCGGAAAATAGCAAGTTTAATAAACGAGAATTATCAGAGCGAGTTTTTAATTAAACTTTCGCGGGAAAGTAGAAGTAGGAGTAAAGAAGAAGAGGGAAGAAAAAAGTTTCAAGATGTTCGGTGGGACCGTGAAGGCTTGCGGAGGGGCGGTAAGGACTAAAGAGCACCCCTATGCAGAATCGATCGCTGAATTACGGCCACATTATGACTGCGAGACTTGCTAGGACCGCACTTTCCTGGCGGCTGCGAATTAATCCGCGAGAAAGAAGAATCGAGCGACTTCGACAAGCGGCAACGACGACGACGACGACGACGACGACCGGAAGCCGATGATTCATTTCAGAGGAAGTGCACGGTGCAATCGACGGGGCGGAGAATGGGTTGGCCGAGGGGGTGACTGAGCGCATAGTCTGAGGATCTCGGTAACGAGAAGTGCCGACGATCGATACGGGTCCGGGCTGGAGGGGGCAGAGGGGAGCGCGATTAAACGATCGAAAAGATGCTGACGTGCGTGGACTGCTGTATGGGAAATTCTCGTCGGCGAAAATTTCTCCTATTAATCTCGCGGCGCCCGTGTTTTCAATATGCGCTCACGATCCTGACGCGACAAACGGCCGCACGACCTCGGACCGCGCGAGTCGTAAATTCCCCCGCGTGACATGTCCCTTATAATATATGTGTAGCGATCTATCGAGTCTCTGCATCGGAAGAATAGCGAGATGAATCGAAGTTTAAATTTGGGAACTGCCACGTGCCCCATTTTTATTATTTTACGCTGCTCCGAGCGGTTTTAACGAAATGATCGAGAGAAGTTCGCTTCTCGTTATGCTCGATCGAAGCATTTTCAGTGAAGCGCGGTACCGTTTGACTTTTATTCGTAGCGCTTTTCGACAATTAAGCATTGGCGAAAGAGAGAAAGAGAGGGGGAGAGAGAGAGACTCGCGAGTCTCTTGAGCGAAGAATCGATGTGACGATTCGTTTACGTAACGGCGTCCAATTCGCAAGGAACTCTTCTCCTTCGATTAACACGTTGGCTATCGCGTTGCTCTTCGTTGATTGCAGGAAAGATCTCAACTGGATTACAAAAATTCCAAGTTAATAAGTCGTATTGTAATTCAATTTAATTCCGGACGCGCGATATACATATCTTTTATCTCGTTTCATTTGTTCTCTATTAGCTGTAAAATCACTTTTTCAAGTACAATTAATTATACTGTTCACACGTACAACTTGACTCTGGACGCAGCAGCGAATTCTTCGCGGTCTATTGAAATAAATCGTAAAGCAAACGGTCGTGAGAGAAAGGAAGAGGGGAGGAGAGGGGGGCGGAGTGCACAGATGAGAAATCATAATTCGCTGACTCGTAATCTTCTTTTGTTCTTCAGCCGATAGGCATGCACCTGAAGAAGTACGAGTGGGTGGGCTCGCCGGACATGGGCGACTGCTCGCTATGGGTGCGATCCGCCACACTCGAGTTCGACGACGGGCTTTGGCAATGCCAAGTGACCGCGAGTGATTTCACGACGCAGGACGCGTTAGCATCCGAACCAGCGAGGCTGGTCGTCAGAGGTAAGAGCAAATACCCATGACACGGGGACAGAGGAGACATTGTCGTTAATTATTTACGAGGGAGACTCCCGCGCATCCGTTTCATCCGTGCGCTCCTTGCCAGCACGCGTATTGCGAGTGAACGGGCTCGTACGAGTGAATACCGGAGCTAATATCGCTATTTACACCGTGCGCGCTCGCATTGCGCGCCGGCTTGATAATTAGTGGATAATTCACGAGGCTGAGAAACCGAATTGCATTCAGTCCGGGGAGCTAGCTTATTTTCCCGCTAATAGTTATTGAGATAATTGACATGGAAAGCCCGTGGCCTGGCGCGCTTGACGAAACGGTCGACGTGATTGCTGCACGACGCGCAATAACTCGCCTAACTCGACAAATAGTCGCGGAAATTCACCCGCGCGTCGCGGACTCCTGTCGTTGTCGCTTCGGACCGCGTAACATTGTCATTGTCGTCGTCGTCGTCGTCGTCGTCGTTGTCGTTGTCGTTGTCGTCGTATTTCGTATTTTCATCGTCGACGAAATTATGGTGGATTATCGTCGTCTGTCCGGGGATCGTGTACATTACGCCCGGATATGCCCCGATTAACCCTTGTAAAACCACACAAACGATTCTCTCTCTCCCTTCCTTCGCGCCTCTCTTCCTCTCTCGATGTTACACTCGTCCGATAATCCCGCGACACAATTACCAATGAAACAACGGGATTTGTTGCAGCGCGCCGTGAAAATGGAGCTGTGCTGGGGGACAGGAAAATCCCCATCGTGCCCTTCCTTTCTCTTTCCGTTCTTTTTTGTTTCGCTTCTTTTTTTTTTCTTTTTTAATCCTTGCGCAATAATCGCTGCTGCACACTGCAGCCGCGCTTTAATATCCATAATGGTTGACAATTCGAATCATATCGATATTTCGACGAAATCGTATCTGCAAATTCGCGCTATTCGCGCAATCTACACGCGCGATCTACAGATGATGGATTATTTGCTATTCGGCTCCAGGGCGCGGGGGTGAGTTCCGCAAATTTCCTCTTGTCTTTTTCTCCCTCTCGGCCGTTGTTCTTTCTTCTTCACGAGACGATCGGTGGAACATCCGGCCCGCGGTCTCCGGGACGACCCGCGCGCCTACGAGCGATCCGACACATATGGCGGATTAATCCCTGCTAATTTTCTCATTCCAGTCAGCCCTCAGCGACCGCAGATAGAGTACGCCGACCGTCTAATTCTCCCCGGCAGCAACGTGACAGCCCGAGCAGGTGAGATCGCTACGCTCACTTGCAGAGCGCGGTATGGGAATCCTTCGCCTCTAATTAAATGGTTCGTAATTGTTGCACGTAGATTCCGTACTACTTAACTTGTGCGCCGCCGCCGCCGCCGCCGCCGTCGGCCCTCTTTTAGCGCGCGCGGTCTCCTGCGCGTCTCGCTCCTGCATTCTCTCGGTCTCCTCGCAGACGCGTTCCTTCCGCTCACTCGCTTCCGGGCGTAATCATTCGGCGACTCGCGAGCTTTATGAGTCCGGAGATTAGGTGGAATGTGCCAGCGATAAGAGCGGGAAAGGATAAACGCGCGCGATACGGAGTAGAGCCGCTACGGTGCACGCTCGGCGTCCTTCCTTCGTCTTGATCATCGCGAAACGCTCCGGGAATTGCAAACGGAAGACGTTAAATCTCTAGTCCGGCGAGATATTAGAAAATGTTCTCCGCTCGATTTCAACGGGAAATAGCCGCGATCGCAAAGTCGCTTTCAAAGTGCGCTCGCTTGCGCCCAGCATAATTTCATAATTCGAAACGACTCGCTCTTTTCTCGCGTTGATCTCCGATCGAAAAAAGAGCGTGGCGGTTGGCTTCAGTTTTGTTTTCTTTCCTTTTTGTTTCTCTTTATTCTATCGTCGATGTCGGTCTCATATCAGCCGGTTAAGCTCGAGCTGTCGCACGTAATCAAAATATATGATCGATCCCACCGCGCAGCACCCGCCGCCTCTTCTTCGCCCGTCGTCGTCGCGAGACCGCTTGTTCGAGCCCACCGCTCGAAGATTCCACGTAATGCATCGAGGACGCTGTCGATAGCGGGAACATGCGGCCCATGAATAATCATGATCCGTTCTGCCCGGACGAAGTTAAGGAGGCAGTACACGATGCATTTCGTGCGGCGAGAGAGAGAAAACGCCGGACGCGAGTGTCACGCGAGGGGGAGTGCGGCGAAAATTCGGGGGGAAGCGCAACCCGTCTGGCTGCCCGCTCACCCTCGTCTCGTAGTGTTCCGAAAACGGAAAGAGCTCGCGGGAACGCGCGTTTAATGGCTTTACGGGAATGGCGGGATAAAAACAACAAGCTGCGCACGCGATGCAGCGTAATTTCGACCTCTCCTTCTCTTTCCTCTCCCTCTTTCACTCTCTCTCTCTCTCTCTCTCTCTCTCTCTCTCTCTCTCTCTCTCTCTCTCTCTCTCTCTCTCTCTCTCTCTCTCTCTCTCTCTCTCTCTCTCTCTCTCTCTCTCTGTCTCTTTCTTTCTGTCTCTCTCCCTCTCGTTCTCTCTCTCTCTCTCGGCTCTAAACCCTTGCAATTTTCGGTCGACGTCCACGACGTCGCGCCGGGACGCCCTTCAAATTGTAGACGAGGTCCCCTGACTGGGCGACCGTTGTTGTCAGCTCTCGCTTACTCACTTACTCATTGGGAATTATCCTAATTGACACACGCGACGCAGCGCGAATATGTGTATGCATAAACGTGTTAATTATGACCGACCGGGGAGACCGGAGAGACGATCGCGCGCGCGCGCGCGCAATCAACGGTGAGCGGGTATCGAGTTCGCGTTCATAAAAATGCAATCGTCGACGAAGCGTCGACTGGCGACGTCGCCGGTGCGACCGGCGATCGTTGTCGCCAGAGTTGTCATCTCGCGCGACGGATACCGCGAGTATCTATCGTCGTTAATTAATCCTTTTTTATCCGGCTTTTTTCGAGCTCGTATCGCTCCGAAATACACGTCGCTCGGAAACGTCCGCGATTGCCTCGCCCCACCGCGGATTCCAGCCCGTCGTCACGGATGAGGATGTTTTATCGTCGTTCGTTCGAAATTCCCTCACCGTCGATCCAGCGACGCCGTCCCGGCTAATTGCTTACGTTATTCCTGTATTCGAGAAGCGGTGGCGGATGTAAGTTAATAAACTCGTTATCTCTCGAGAGCAAACCGCGCAAAGCTCTCCGAAGCTCGCGAATGTTTCTTTTTCGCGGGAGAGATTTAATAAATATGGATGAAGTCTCTCGGCGAAGTTAAAAGTCAACGCGAGAGTTGACACCGCGCGCCGTCGGCTGTGCTGATTCAAACGGTTCTCACATTTAGCAAAAAAGAATACAAAAAACGGCTGAGGTGGTTCGCGCGAGGTGTCACGATCGTGGCCCTTTATCGTAATGATCTCGTAATTGCATTTCGATCGAGGCGAGTCGCGGACTGATCGCGCCCGGAAAATTCGGTTCAATTAACTTCACTCTATGTGACACGTCGGTTTCGAATCGTCGTTACCGCCGACACGAATGTATCTCGTCCCGCGTCTCTTCTGTTTGCGAGATACGGATTTGTTCGGGGATCTGTCGGATACATGATACGTTTCCCTCTATCACTATTCACATCAGACTACCTATAATAACCAAGCATCGAGAGGCTTAATTCGCGGGAGTGCTGCCGCTCTTCCAGGCTCGCGAAACTCCGAGAGATTGCCGAAGAGCGAATCTCGGCGTAATTCGCGACTGCGAGTCTCGACGAGCGCAGCTCGGCGAAAACGATAGAGAGCTAGGAAGGGAGCTAAACGAGAAGAGAGAGAGAGAGAGAGAGAGAGAGAGAGAGAGAGAGAGAGAGAGAGAGAGGGATTGAGAAAGGATAAAGGGAAAGAGGGGAAGGAAGAAGGAAGAGACACGAGAAAGAGCGAGTTTCCCGATTCGAGCAAGATGATGGCGCGAAGGAGAAAGGGCAGAAAAAGGGAAGCGGAAGGAGCAGGAGGATTGCGTTGAAGGAGAGCGAGTAAGAGTTGTTGCAGAACGGCCATTGGAAATGCAAATTTTCCGGGCGATGCAGGTACGTGGGCGAGACCGAGCTGAGGACGCTGAGGCCGCAGGTAAACTCGACCGAGGTAGATAATCCGCGCACTTGGGCGACCTACAGTATTTGCGAGATTCTGGCCGAGCGATCACGTTACGGCCAGCCGATCAGATGCGTCGCCATCCATCCAGCGTACGCCAATCCTACCATGTCCTCCAGCATCGAAGTGAGGTTCGACGTGCGATGTGAGTACATATGATCTTCTTGTAGAGCTTCGCTGATCGATTGATTAGATTCACATCTTACCCGGAAAGCTCCTTCATCTGTGCACGTCTCTGCGCGTGCGTATGTGTATTTATAGTGTGTGCGTGTGTGCGTGTGGATGTATATGGGTGTGTTTAAGAAAAGGGAAGAAAGAATGCGCGATGCGAGTGTATCAGCGGAAGCTTACAAACGGAGGTTTATGAAGCTCCGAGCTGGTGAGCAAAGAAGGAGGAAGACCGTGCGTATATACGGCGGAGTAAAAAGAAGTATTTGCACACCTCGTTATTTCTAAGGCGAGTTTTCACGGGAGGAGAAGGAAATATCGCCGCGAAGTTATCTGTTGAGATATTTTATTATCATTTTCGTTAATACGTTTTCGTTAATATGAAAGAAACAGAAAAAGAGAGAAAGAGAGAAAGGGAAAGCGCTGTGGCAATATTTTTCCTCCTCCTCGCGCGAGATTATCTCGGGAAAGTTGACGTGTGTGTGTGTGTGTGTGTGTGTGCAGATATATCTTGAACGGAACGAGCACGCGCGCTCGCGCGTTTTTTCACTACGCCTTCGACCTCGCCTAAGACCTTCCGCGTAAGACGCTTTATGGTACATTTACCCCACAGCCTGCACACTAACATGTAATTTTGATGAGAGCCGTAATGCCCAGCGACACGCGATGTATGTAGACTCTTTAATGAAGCCATAGTTGGCGAACTCGTCCTTCAGAGTCCCGACAGAAAGTAGGACTCCGTAGGAGACCGCCTGATGTGTCTTCATCTTCACCGCGAAGTTTGCGTCTGAATACTGACGAGTTTGTAATTGATTACGAACGGTGACAGGGATCGTTGTCCCGATGAATTACAATGACTTATTATCATAAGTCTCCCTGTGTGACGGGCAACGCCATTAATACGAGAATTTATCCGTACGGAATTCGCGCGGAGATAACGCGCCAGCAACGCGCGACAATTTGATCCTTTGCGAAACGGTGTACATAGCGGCAGCAAGAGTATGAGAGAGTAAGAGAGCGAGATAGAAAGGGAGATAAAGAGAGAGAGAGAGAGAGAGAGAGAGAGAGAAGAGTTATAGAACACGTAATTAGCAATAATCATGTTTTTGATATCGCGAAAGCGCGTGCTGAATGGCGTACAATAATTCGCCGCGATGAATTCCGTCAAATATTCCGTTCGCATTCAAGTGCCCGGTAATTTTTACGCTAAATGTGACATCGATATTCAATCAGCGACGTGCGCTCCTATTATTCTCGTTGTAAAAGGGACGTGATTCTCGTTGAATAAGCGATATCGATAATGCACGCGCTTTGAGGGCACACAAAAGCGCGTAGCGGTGTAATAAACACTTTTTTCTTTTCGCGACGTAAAATGAAACGCCGGCCGATTATACATATACGTTCGCGGGTAAAACTGCTTTTGTTTGAAGGAGACTTCGAAATAAAACGCGCAAAGAAGGGCTCGGACGGTAGGTCGAGATTAAGGTCGCGCCTCTCTCGCTCTCTTCCTCCCTCTCTTTCTCTCTCTTACTCTCTTGCTCCTTTTCTCCCTCTCTTTCCCTTCCCTCCCTTTTTTTCACGTAGCTACGCTGGCCATCAAGTATGTTGTATGCATAATGGAAACGGCGGAAGCACGGCCGGAGCAGGAGGCAGGGGGCAGGAAGAAAATATACGACGCTGCGGAACTTCCCTTCCTTCTCGGCCGCCATCTGCACACGTAGAAATATATTTCCCGGTCATAATGAAAAACTTTCGCGCTTGAATATCCCGGCTGATGTCGCGCGCGCTGTATTGCATTTAGCTCGCGTAATCGGTATCTCGCGGACGCGGCTCACGGGACGCGACTGCACCGGGCTTCACGTTCAATTGCTACAATTGAGCGAGTGCGATACTTTAACGTCGCTTCGTGAGAGACCAACTCGATCGTAACGCTAAACTGAGGTCTTGGCTATCTCTGATCTCTGAGAGAAAGAGAGAGGAGAGAGAGAGAGAGAGAGAGAGAGAGAGAGAGAGAGAGAGAGAGAGAGAGAGAGAGAAATCCGTTCGATGTTTCACACGCCAAGCCATATCCGATTTCTCTGCATCGCTGTTGAAAATAACGCGCTTTATTATCTCGAAACGAGAAAGGGAGAGAGAAAAAAAGATACGTTCCGCGACATGGAAATCAAAGCAAAGCGGACGCCACACGCGCGCGTATTCACTTTCCACGCCTCTCAAACGGAGGTTACTCCGATTCTGCATGATATCGGTATTCCCTTCGGATCGTATTGTCAGCGCCGTTATTATCCGCGCGAGAACCCACTTGGTAAAAAGTCAGGTCGCCGCGGTGCGCGTGCTTTTCGCGCAAATTGCGGAAAGACAATCCGGTGAAGCGGCCGGTCGGTCGTGAAAAACGTGTCGGCCAAAAAGGAAAAAAAAAATCACCACGGACGCGCGGCGTGTGTGGCCGTATAACACACTGACCTCAAACCGTTCCGCATCCTCGATCCATCCCCATCGATGCACCGATTTACCTCGGTACACACATCTATGCGCAAACACATGAACGCGCGCGAGCGCAGCATGAAATTGTGAATTCCCTCCCTCTGTCCTCCTTCCCTCCCTCGCCCCCCCCCCTCTCTCTCTCTCTCTCTCTCTCTCTCTCTCTCTCTCTCTCATCAATCTTCCTCAAATCGGTACGTCCGGGTGTCATGCGTTTTAACCTTATCGACAATTCGATGCCTGACCGAACATCCAGGCAGATTTTCACGCTTTTTGCGAAACCGTGCTGCTGCGGACAGCGGTCAATGAGTATCGATTGCAGCCTCGGCCGGCAACGCTGTGTGACTACAATCGAGCCGCAGTTAGTGCAAATAAGGTTGCCGCGGAATAATACAGCTGTTGAATACGGCGGTCCTCGCGCGTCGTTACGTCGATTTTACGCGTCATTATCGCGGTTGTTTAATCGGCTAATTGTCGCTCGTGTGCGTGCGCGGTCAGCTCAGTTTCAACGAGACCGTCCGAGAAGGTCCGAGAAGAACGATTTGTTTGGACGGAAAGTCCGACAAGGGGGATCGCGTTACTCCCTGCGTTAATGCGTTATTAAAATATATCTCGCCAAGTCGGTAAAGGAAATTTACAATTCACAAAGGGAATTCGTACAATCAGCCGCGTTCTCTCCCTTGCTCCCTTCCCCTGGAATTAAATCGGCTATTAAATCCGGTACTATGTAACATTAATTAGTCGACAGTTTCGATCAAATCAGTAATCGATACGCCAACCAGATCGGATCTTGGTGCGCGTATTCCCGCCTTTTCCCGCAGCAGAAATTAATTTGGCGGGCGAAATGAAAAAGCATCGCCCAACGCAATGGTATGCGCTGGTATACGCCGGCCGGCAGATTAAAAGGCTCTCGTGTCCTTTGCGTCCGTAAAAATTTCCACCATCGCGAATAAATTGCCGGAGCTGCATGCTAGATAAAGTCGTATTCGCGCGTGCGCGCTGCCGATCACCGAGCGAGAAGTGGACCGCGCAGGATTAACGCCGGACGTTTTCGTCGTGATCTACCAAGGACAGTAGCTACGGCGAGTCGAGCTTTTTAAGCTCTCGTGTCCCGCTTTTCGCCTCCCCTCCCCCCCTCCCCCGCCCTCCTTCGTGACGTGACAGACAAAGCGTGGCATTTAAAATCACAAAGAAATTCCGTGGAGCGCGTTGCAACAATACGCGATCGTTATTCGATTATCAAGCAATTGGGTCCTTGCCCTTTTGAAAATTCACTTTTTCTGCGCATGCGAGAATGTCGCCCGTAATGTCAATCGCGTAATATTAATACCAAGCACGCGCGCGCTATAAATTTCTGATGAAAACGTTTCGGGTAATTGGCGGAATTTCCGCGAATATGCCGGTTGTGATTTCCTCGTGCGGCTCGCGCTGCTGATTTAATCGCGGCGATCTCGAATAATGTGTCACTCGCGCCCCTCGACTCGCGTCTGTCGACCTCCGTTTGACCGGGAGCGCGCGCTCCGGTCGAGTGTGTGATTTCGATCATCCGGCGAGACGCGAAAAATTCATTCTAATGTCATCCAATCGGTCAGCACGCAATCCACGACGTTCCGCGGCCGTAATTCTCGGCGCAGACTGCGATCTTGAGGTCTCGTTGCGAACCTCCCTTGTAGGCATCCCCGCGTGTACCCGTTCGTTCGCCCTCCATGCGTCCGGAGAGCGGCCACGTCGGCCTGTGCACCGGCTGTATACGCATGCGGAGTATATTGATTACGAGTATTACTCGAGAGTGCGGGAGAGCAGGGAGAGGGGGAGAGAGAGAGAGAGAGAGAGAGAGAGAGAGAGAGAGCGAGAGAGAGAGCAGGACTTTTCAGTGCAAATTGAAAAGTTTGCCTCAAAGCGCTGATATGTTCCGATACGGATGCCGCGCGGGAATTTCGGACGGCCGACCGGGAATTTACCTTCTTCTCTAACGAGGGGGGTGCATTCTCGGCCGGTGAAGTTTTTAGAGAGAGCGCCGCGATATGAACGGGTCAGTAGCTCTGCCGCGTATTTCGGTCAGCGTCCTCCACCGGTGGTTTCTACCCCGGTCGATGGAGGGGGGTAGAAATACGTTCCGTATGTGTGTGCGTGAGTATGTGCGGGAAGCTGCCGCACGACGACCGAATACATCGCTTAAGGTAATCACGTTGTTAACCATTGTCGCGCGAATGACAATTCTACGTCGCGATAATCACCGCGATTTGTCCGCGTCGCAATCTGCGCACTCTCTCTTTCTCTCTCTCTTTCTCTCTCTCTCGTGCGCGCGCGCGCAATTCGATGATTTGAACGACGCGAAGCGCAGCGAGAACCTCGATGAAGCCTGATTAAATTACCACTTTATTTCAATCAGTGCGAACAATCAGGAAGGTTAGTGAGTTTTGACCTGGCAAATGTTAATTATTGGAGCTTTATCGAGGCGCGCGCGTACGACAACCAAGCGCGCTCCACAAAATT